TTCCATCTACAGAATCATTATCAGAATCTTTATTAATACGGGAGGAATCCGATGAGCTATGAAGTTCTTTTTCACATTTTGTCCCGTGGGTCAGAAAGTTACAACAAACAATACAAAAATACAATGGCAGTGCAAAGTATAGGAAAGGTAAGCGAATCGCTAAAAACGAAGAGACCTATACCAGTTTTGAGGGACCTGATGAGCAGATCTAAAACAAATGAGACCAAGGGAGCAAAGTTATTCCCGAGTTATCATGTGGGGAAAGGGTACAGAGGGCAGTGGGTAGAATGAGACCTGGCAATGAGCGTGGTGAGTTTAGAAAAAAAAATTATTAGAGAACTCAGCTAACACTGTGCCCCTAAAAAAGAGGTGGTTGAAAATCAGGAGGGAGAGGGGCCGTTTTTGTTTGCAGTATTTGAGAGCGAATAGTGGTGATTTTATCAGAAAGAAAAAAAATGTTCTAATGAATTGCAATGATAAGCAGAGATTAAGTAATTAAGCTGTTGGCCTGGATTCAGAAGGTGATTAACAGTGGCGAATAGAACTCTCGAATAATAATTTCCGGTAGCAATTCGGGAAGCAGGATGAACAGATTTTGCTTGAGAGATCGCATCCTTACGGACTGATGTTTAAAAACATATATTGCTCTGCATTCCACGATTGCATTGTTCTATACAAAACTGAGCATTGTATAATATATATACCCACATAGTATTTCTCATAAGTGAAAATGCATGTTTTATGTAAGCAGGTGTTACCTTTGAGGGGATGGTCAATACTAAGCATTCACTGCATAGAAAACCCATCTCCCATTAAAAACGAGCCTCTTTCATGTTGCTCAGTAAGTCATTTATGGTAATCGCCATCTATTATATTTGCATTCCATGTGCAGCACATATACATATAGGCTAAATAAAATCAAATATAAATTTAGAGCGTTAAATGAGAGAGATTTATTATTCAAATGTATACTTAATTTTTATTCAAACAATATATTGTTTGAAAACACATTTTTTTCCCCCATGATGGTGAATGAGCACAGGCCTGAAATACCAATAAGGATGTTTCGGTAAGTGAAGAGACGAAAATCATTTTTCCGAGGATATGTGTAAGTATAAATTAATAGAGCAGGTTATAAAGTTGGACTCAGGATGAGTAACATAAAGGTCATGTGTTACAGTGAAATTTCGATTTAAAGCTTTCGTGACTGCAAGGATTAATCTTCTTTGGTTCTTTCGGTAAAGTCACGTAGAATGAGAATAAAATAATAAATTTATAAAATAAAATAACACAATAAAATTCTCACGACGTTTCGGCCACAACACAAGCGGCCTTCATCAGGTGAAGGAACGAGACTGTCTGGAGGACAGCGCTGGAGCGAACAAAGCCACACTCAGATCGCGACCTTTAAGCCTCAACTAAACCAAAGAAGATGTTACAGTGAAGTTCGCTAAACAATTGGAAGCAGGGGCGGAGCCACAGGGTGGGCTGGCTTAGCCCCCCCTGAAATTTTGGGAAAGTCGGTAATCGGGATAACCGGATATCCGGCTGCTGCAAAATACTGCAGGCTGCCACCTCGTGCTGCCCTGCAGGTTGCTTGAGCGGTAGCCTTTAAAACTTATCGAACTTATTAGCCACATCAGCGGCTCCGACCTATTAATAAAATCCGCGTTCAAATCCAATAAAATGTGTTTTATACATTTGTGGCGCCCATTGGAAAAGATACACTGGATATCTTAGAATATTGAATTCAGCCCCCCGCCCCAAAGTCCAAAATCCTGGCTCCGCCCCTGCTGGAAGTATCTGTCAGAGGGAAACAACTGCAAAACCGAGCAGAGTATATATATCTCGGATATCTATGAACGCGAACTGGGATCAAAATGATGAGATAAAGAGGCAGAAGACATGAGGTGTTTTTAAAAAGCTGAACTTGATAATGAAAGGTAGCGTAACAATGTGCATGACTCATACAACTTTTTTCTCATCGGTGTGTACTGCCTGTTATGACATACTCTATGCTTCTTAAACATGGACGTTAGTGAAAATAAGGACCGGAAAACTGAAAAGTGTGCAAATAAATGTGGAGAGATGCATGCCTGGAATTACACTGAGAGACAGAAGAAAGAGAAACACGTGGATTAGAGAATACCGATTAATGATATCCAAACCATGAAGCAAATTAAATGGGCTTGGGTAGGACATGTCGCTTGAAGGAATGATGAATGGTGGTCAAGAATAATAATAGAACAGTAGCTAAGGAATGGAACACATGTGACAGGACTTCTTCCAACGAGGAAATGGAGGAATGAATTCCTATCATGTGGCTAGATTAGTTCATCACAAGACCATGAGACGTGGTGGTGGTATGGGGAGGTCTTCATCATTCAGTGGATTTCCGAATGCTGATGGTTTGTTAAGATGATATGGGTAGAGTGGTGGAGTAGTGGCACAGTGCGTATCGCACTGTGCTATGAACCCAGCAAACTGAGTTCAATTCCTGGCCATGGCCACCATGAGTGGCGAGTGATATCTGAACCAGTACAGGGCTCCCCTTTCACCACTACGCACCGATCAGCATGGTGAAACATGGTAAGAAAAAATACATGACAGTGTGGAGATGACGTCATTCAGTCGTGGATTGACAATGTGCTGTAAATTGTTGGGTTTTTTTGTAAGCATTACACTGTCCACATAGTCACTGTCTACTAATATACACTTGCCCAAGGACTTTTCAAGTTTCCTAATGCCAGCAGCACAGACGTCTCGTGGTTGATCCTTTAGCTATGACGGCACCAACGTGTTCGCAGCCAAGTCACTATCAAACCACCTCCACATATAGAGCTTCTTTAAGAAATCCGAACAGATGCAAGTGTGAAGAGGCTAGTTCTGAATGTTCCAGAACATTATGCACAAGATTTCCCAAGCGCCATTGTTGCGCTTGCAAAGGGTGTCTGATTATGTTGAAACAGTTCATGGCGTCTCTGACAAATGGTTTTCAAACAGGAATTCCCAAATCCCATACAATAAATACGTACAATACTTATATATATACAGACGCTTTTGAATTTCTAGTGCATATATGCGCACCTCCGATGAGCACGGTTGGCTACATATGGTGCGAAATAATTTCGACATGCATTCGTATACAAGTCCTGCTTTCAAAGCTTTTGTTGCACAGATAAGGGTAGTGATGCAGTGTCTGCAATGGTCCAGCAAAATTATCAAGGGAAGCTTTACATAAAATTGTAGAGTTTGGCTTCTATAGCCATGGTGTGGGAAGGGCTAATGGAAACACGCCTTCTTTTGAAATTAATATATATTTTTATTAAATATTTTAACCAGGAAAGAAATCCCATTTGAAACGTATAATTTTCACAGGTATCCTGGTGCAATTGACAAAAAACTAGGCTGCAGCAGCAACAATAAAAGTTCGAGAACCAATTACAACACGACAATCTAATCTAATTTTAGATTAATAGAGCGCCTTCACTCAAGGCGCTTGACAAAGTAAAAAAAACGGTTACAAAACAGGATAATTTAGATGCAGGGCCGGATTATGACATGCTGGGGCCCTAAGCTATGTCAATCTTAGGGTTCATAAATCGAGGAATGCCTGTATATTGTTGTCATATTGGAATGAAAATTACATTTTTAGAGAGTCTTTTTTCTCTGTCTCCTTCATTTTTCAACTAATTATGTAAAACTTGAAACTTCGCACGATAATTTATTTTTTAGTATGTAGAGGCCCCTCATAAAGCGAGACCCTAGGCTGTAGCCTACTTAGGTTATGCCTAAATCCGGCACTGTTTAGATGGCAGGGGCATACACGGATTGAAGAATGAGTGACCGTGATCGAGGCTAGTTAGAGATCACTGAAGGGTCGGGGACTGAAGGAGTGGATGGGCGAGACGAGGGAAGACGATGAATATGAGCGATAGAGAAGAGGTGAGCTTTAAGAGAGGAACAGAAGGAGATTTAGGAGGGGTCTGCCAAATGTACAGGGGAGGTTGATTCCAGTAAAAATCACAGCTTAAAACAGAAAACAGTGTTACATTTTGCTTTAAAGCTTTCGTGACTGCAGGGATTCATATTCTTGGTTCTTTCGGTAAAGTCACGTAGAAGGGAAACAATAAAATAATAACAAATATTTTATAAAATAATAAAAATATATATTTTATTACGATTTAAAGCTTTCGTGACTGCAATGATTCATCTTCTTTGGTTCTTTCGGTAAAGTCACGTAGAATGAGAATAAAATAATAAATTGATAAAATAAAATAACACAATAATATTCTCACGACGTTTCGTGACAGCGCTGGTAGGACAGCGCTGTCCTACCAGACAGTCTCGCCCCCTTCACCTGATGAAGGCCGCTTGTGTTGTGGCCGAAACGTCGTGAGAATATTATTGTGTTATTTTATTTTATCAATTTATTATTTTATTCTCATTCTACGTGACTTTACCGAAAGAACCAAAGAAGATATATTTTATTGTTTCCCTTCAACGTGACTTTACCGAAAGAACTAAGAATATAATATTCTTGGTTCTTTCGGTAAAGTCACGTAGAAGGGAAACAACAAAATAATAAAATATATATAAAACAATAAAAAATCTCACGACGTTTCGACCATAACACAAACGGTCGTCTTCAGGTGTGTTATGGTCGAAACGTCGTGAGAATTTTTTAAAAATAGTTTTATATATATTTTATTATTTTGTTGTTTCCCTTCAACGTGACTTTATCGAAAGAACTAAGAATATTAATTACTGCAGTCACGAAAGCTTCAAATCAAAATTTTACCAAGAATATTGTTACATTACCAAAGTACGAAGCACACAAATAGGCTCCTGATGCACATTTAGTGTGCCGATAAAAAAAAAAGTTGCGTGCACTTTTCTGTATCGCGGCTGACCCGTGCATGCGCACCTCTGTAAATGAAGGCACGTTTTCCAGCGTACGTTGCGCAAAGCCATTTCCATGCGCGAGCGCATGTGCTCACCTTCACTCTGGGTGAAGTACTCGACGCGGTATTTGATGACGCGACCTCGGCTCAGGTCGCCGCTCAGGGGCAGCCAGGTGACAGCGATGTTGTTAGCGCTCCTGCTCAACAGCGAGATGTGGGGAGCACCCATCGGCACTGCGTGGAGGAGGGGTGAGGTTCGTGGCGAGGGGAACAGGCGGCAATTGAGACAAAACTCTAGTTCAAGACGCCAAATAGAATAGCTTGAGGTTTTCACCGAGAATATGAAATAATCCATAATTTTTTTTTGGTTCTAGATGCACGTCCCTTTGGCAATCCACTGCTGGGTACAAACTAATTAATTCGATATGTTGCATTGCCAGTGCTGCACAAGGACAATTAACAAGAAAACAAATATTGACGAATGTGTTGAGTTTTGTTTCTTTGTTAACACTGCTGTGTAACGAGCTGCCCACGCCGTGTAAGTAATTCGGGTTGTTAGACCATACTTGGCCATGCCGGTCAGTGTAGGTTTGAGAAGGCGAGGAGCATAGAAGTACCCTAAAACAATGGAATTTGCTACACTACCCTTTGCTGCCCGAATCCTACCACCAAGCTTAAACCCTGCTTAGCTTGCGAGACGTAAGATCAGGCACATTCCAGGTGATTTGGTCATTGGCTTAATATGGATATCATTATGATTGACATTTTGTGAATCAATTTAGTAGAATCCCACCGAAAAAAACATGCAAATCATCTGTTGGTGGATCAGCAAACACCCCACATTAGGAGTGCATAGAACACATATGCCTTTTTATATTAATGCCACGACGACCACAATCAATAGATAAGCATGCACAGAAAACCAAAACATTACAGAGAACAATGAAACAACAATACGTCATGTTTTGGGGACCAGTTATGCTTCCCACGGCCAACCGTGGGCTGCATAATGGTGGCGAGATGTTAACTACCTCGCCTGGTAATAGGAAGTCGTGGGTTCGATCTCGACCGTGATGCTCTGTATATTTGGAGTTTGCATGTTCTCTCTGTGGTTGCATGGATTTTTCTCCGGGTCCTCTGGTTTTTCTCTCCACATTTAAGAGTATTTGGCTGCTATAAATGTCCACGTGATAAGCCACTTCATTGAGCTATCATTCGTGCCCAGGTCGCTTCTGAAAAAAGAGCTGTATAGCCCAGTGGGCCTTACCTGGTAAAATTTAAAAGAGTATAAATAGATAAATTAAATAAACTAGCTCTTGATTCGTTTTTACATTTGCATCACTCATACCCTGATGCTCTTTGTTTTTACTCTATGTAAAACCCACCCAGGGGCAGATAGAGGAGTGAAATTGTATTACCGGAAGATCAACGTTGGTGGTATCAGTATAAGGAGGCCTTAAACTAGCATAAGTATGGCGGTTGCCCGTGAGTATCAATAGACCTTCGGGTCAGTAGTCGTTAAATGTCCACGTGAAAACCCATTGAGACAATTAGTACAATTTGCAAGATTGACCTGGGGAGCCTGTCTAAAAAATTTGACTTGCCATTTGTTTTGTCTGTCCATGGGCAATGGACAATTTCATGCCCCCTAACTGTGACACCATGCTCAAGCACCCCATTCACCATGTGCCCTGTCTGCTAAGCAGACTGAGCACGATATGTCATTTACACTGGTACCACCGACATTGATGGTATCGGTAAAGCAGAGGTAATGCGGCTGGATAACATAGTTAAAGCACTCTTGCTTTTTAGCTGTTTGGTGCCTGGTTAACAGTTACAGATTCTAAAACTCTTTGATCACGTTGCAGGCCATTGCCATGCATCACCGTCTGCTCTCACGTCATTCAAAGAAGCTGCGGGCGGGGGGGGGGGATGTCACTGTGTGCTGAAAATACGGATTAACTCAAATTGCTAGCGGCTAGGGTTGCTACCTTTTGGATTTGCGCGTCCCGTGACGGGTGCACCGTAGCGCAAGGGGGAAGAAGACACGGGGGGGGGGGGGGGGGGCGGGCGGGGGGGGGTAACAGAGTGGTGGAGCCCCATGGCTGGGGTGGGGGGTGCAGGCAATGCGTTGGGCAGGTGGGCTGGGGAGGCCTAGAGAGCAGAGATGAAGTGGACGGTGGAGTGGCTGAATAGATCGGGGCGGGATGAGAGATGGCGCAGAGCCTAAGCGATGGGGTTATTTGGGGTGAGGGAAAGATAGATCGCCAGGAAGGAACCCAGTCATTGCCACCGGTGAGGTGCACAGAACCGGACACTTCATTGGTCTGGTTGCTTATGTCCTGCATCGCAGGCTTAAGAAACGGCTCATTTCCTGTGCGGACATTTCAATGTAACTTTATTTTCACTTGCCCGTTTGACTTTCTCACCGTGCGTAAGATAAAAGGTGTGACACAATGTTTTTGCACATTGGTGTTTTGCAATATGAAACTGTGTAATGTAATTCATTTTGAGAATCAGTCTCGACTTGTCTTAATCAGAATATTTTAGAATCAAACTCAACATTTCACATTAATTTTGGTTCAGACTTTAATCTGCCATACTCTATGTAGTTAACTTTTGACAATTTATACAACCATCAGATATAGTTAATCATTGGATGATCCTTGATTGTGAATTAAATACTGTGGACATTCAGGGGTTAACCATGCTTCCTGCTGTATAGGTTACCCGAGTCTCCAGAAACCTGCTCAATTTCATCGTGAATTGTATCAGTCTTGACTTAAAGCTCTCGTGACTGCAGGAATTCATATTCTTGGGTCTTTCGGTAAAGTCACGTAGATAGGTTCAAAGAAAATAACAAAAAAATAAAAATTAACTACGACGTTTCGATCGCAACACAAGCAATCGTCATCAGGAGAAAAATGAGCGGGAAAGCTTCTGAGGCAGGCCGTTTTAAAGGGCTTACACCCATTTCAAACCTTAAACCTTTAAAACAGCCTGCCTCAGCAGCTTTCCGGCTCTTTTTTCTCCTGATGACGATTGCTTGTGTTGCGATCGAAACGTCGTAGTTAATTTTATTATTTTTCTTTGAAACCTTTCCACGTGACTTTGCCGAAAGACCCAAGAACGCGAATTGCATGTTCAGCGTACACATGCATGTTGTGTATTTTTTCATTCATATCTATTATGTAAAGTGATATTGCAATTTTGATTTAAAGCTTTCGTGACTGCAGTAATTCATATTCTTAGCTCTTTCGGTAAAGTCACGTTGAAGGGAAACAATAAAATAATAAAATATATATAAAACAATAAAAATTCTCACGACGTTTCGACCATAACACACCTGATGACGACCGTTTGTGTTAAGGTCGAAACGTCGTGAGAATTTTTATTGTTTTATATATATTTTATTATTTTATTGTTTCCCTTCAACGTGACTTTACCGAAAGAGCTAAGAATATATTGCAATGTCGCCTCTAAAAATCTCTCCTGCAAAGTATTGCAGCCTGCCTGCTCTTTAAAATGCAGCAGTCATTGAAATTGCCCTTTGTGAAGCACCCGAGTTGGTTTATGATCATGCTGCACGCTAAGTACAGTCGGTAGTCTCTTACCGGCGATGTAGCAGAGGTTGTCACAAATAATAGCCGTTCCCTACAGGGTGCCAGATGTTACGCGTGTAATGTGACACGCACAGCCCGGACAGACAAACAGGCTCCCCACCACAGCACAGCAACTTCATCGTGGCTTGCGATGACAGGTTTGAACTCTGAGAATCCTATCGCATGCGAATCCATGGGATTCTATAGATGACAAGGAGACTCATAGATCTAATGCCCACCAAGGATAACAGGATTTGTTGCTGAGATAGTCGCAGGTAAGAGGCGTTCTACTCTATAACATCTTCACCTACACCAACAATTCAATTGATGCTAATTTATACAAGCCTTGCACAGTTCGTGGTTTGCTTGCTCGCATTGAGAATTTCCGCTCGTGACGACTCACAAGCGCAGCGCGTGCGCGACGTGCAAACAACGCATCCGTGGCAATGTGAGAAATTGGGAGCGTACAATGAATTGTAAGCGGTGCGCCTGACAAATTATCATCCTTAATCGTGCGCGTCCCAGCAAGGGGACCCACCTCCCTCCAGGGTGTGCACCGCGAGGTACCCCGAGCTGCTACTCGCCCCACGCTGGGAGTAGGCGACCACATAGAAGGTGTAATTGGTGTTGGGTTCCAGGTCCTCAATCAGGTACTGTGTCGTGTCATTATTCACCGCCTCCTGGTATTCTTTGTTGTTGATTCCTGCGCAACGGGAAAACGGCCAGCCAACAAGACAGCGGCACCGTGCAGGGTTCGCAGTGAGGCGAGGCGGTCGACAGCGATCGTGTGCTATCGGTCGTCCGCGCACGGACAACAAAAGGGGGGTTTGTGACAAGTATGCGACTTGATGGGAAGGAAAAAAAAAGCCAATTTTGAATGAATGGCCATTGATGCAGCGCTAGCTTCGGCGGTGCCTTGCGCGCTCCCGCACCACGGCAGCGGTGTTCACAGGAACGCGACCATACGCACAGGGGCTCTCATACATTTGGTTCTCAAACCCCTTGGTTTTCACTTCTCAAATCGTATTCATTCACGAATGAACAGGGGTGTGCCCAATAAACACGTGAACATCTTTCGATATTCCGGTCGGCACGGTTGGCTATACGTGCAGCGCGAGAGAAGTTCAAAATACATGCAAAATAGTATAATTACGGTGAAATGGAAAATCTTTCAATGCATCTTTAGCGTGATAATTACATTTAAAATATTGTAATTAGGCCATAAATAGGTGTCTCTCATGAGAAATCACAACCATCCAAGAGTTTCATTCGACGTGTATTCTGCTTGCTCTACAGGTCATATTGACATCTTACAAAATCAGCTTCATTTTGTTGGTGTATCGCATATCATCACACTACTTTGCTGATTAGCAGAGTGACACATATCTTGCAATACATTAATAATGCTATGGGAGTATGATAAGCACCTAACTAGGTGATTATATTTTGCAGATTCAACAATAGGCCAATGGCAGGTAAAAAAAAGACTCTCGCTGCTGATAAGCAAGGGCAGGAATTTAACATGGTGATTTTCAGTATTACTGTTGATGTTTCAATGCAAGTATTTTGCATGTTCGCGCACCTGTGTGTCTCCTGTGTGTTACAATTTTTTTTGCAACTCAGGTTACATTATTGGCTTTGCATTTCAATATTTGAAGCTATAATTGGCAAAAGGTTGAATCAGCAAATAAACATCAGCATCTGGTGTTGGTGTGTCAGCAATAGGAGCGGAAAGAGCCAAGGCAGTCGAATAGAGTGCTGAGCGAGTCATTCATTTTTCTCACGAGCTCTGCTCTCTTGTGTGAACAAGATCCTGGGATGCAGAATCACAGCACTCTTGTCCCAACAGTTCAGATTCCTGACTGGGGATTTTTATTGTTGTTAATGCACGAGCCAGGGAATTCACTTAAATGGCTCTTACAGTTTTCCGAAAAATAATTTTCGTTAGCTTAACTAGCACATGGCATAAGCCAAATGTTGTTGAACAGGTACCACTTCATTGATAATGTACATTCAGTCCATAACGTTATTTATATTACTTGTGTAGTGTTTTTATTTCACGCGGACAACTTCTTCTTTTCCTCCTGTGTTACTTTTTATTGAACAGAACTCCTCGCATTCGACAGCCCGTCGTGATTTTCCCGCTTGCTCTGCTCGCCTGCTTCGCACCGCTCCCCCCCCCTCTCTCTCTCAGCTTCTCCACAGCTTGCCTTCGCTCTCTCTCACTCTCCTTGCCTCTACACTGCTAGCCTGCTCTCTCTCTCTCACTCTCCTAGCCTCTCCACTGCTAGCCTGTTCTCTCTCTCACACTCTCCTAGCCTCTCCACTGCTAGCCTGTTCTCTCTCTCACTCTCCTAGCCTCTCCACTGCTAGCCTGTTCTCTCTCTCTCACTCTCCTAGCCTCTCCACTGCTAGCCTGCTCTCTCTCTCACTCTCCTAGCCTCTCCACTGCTAGCCTGTTCTCTCTCTCTCTCACTCTCCTAGCCTCTCCACTGCTAGCCTGTTCTCTCTCTCACTCTCCTAGCCTCTCCACTGCTAGCCTGTTCTCTCTCTCTCACTCTCCTAGCCTTTCCACTGCTAGCCTGCCTGCCACGCTCCGCTCGCCTCGCTCTCTCCGCTGCTGGCCTACCACTCCACACTCTGATAGCTTCCCACCATACACTCTGCTAGCCATTAATTAAGCTGGCGTCCTCCCGTCGTCTCACGCCCGTGGCTTCCACCGTTATCGCCTCAATATCCCGTCAACCTGGCGCCTGTTCCGCGCCTGCATTTGCAGCCAGCCAATCACCGCTATGCATCCTAATTGGCCGTCTCCTTTCCGTTGCTCCCTCTCGCCGCACCTGGTCGTCTCGATGCGACCTCACTGTCCGTAACTCGCACTTGCATACACACCGCTTGCAAAACCCTTGCGCGTGCTATTCCACTACACCACCCCCCCCCCCCCCCCCGTGATGAAAAATCTGGCCGTCCCGGCTAGCCTTATATACAACTAAGTAACGCGCGAATCTGTGACACAGGTTATAACAACAAAATACAACAGCAACAAGAACAACAATATAAGAACAGCAATAACTACGCGTATATATATACAGGTGTGTGCAATGCAGTCTGTTTCTTTGAATGCTCCCGCATTCCTCAATGAAAAACAGTCCTCCTTGAGGACCGGGTCCCGCACAGCCGGGGGAAGAGACGGCTCAGCGCTCGTCAGAGAGCCACATCTCTTCCTCGATGAACCGTGAGCCTCTTGTGGGTCCCGGTCGCGCCAAAACGAGCAACACGGCTGCGGCTGCTCCTTCAACTCAGACTCCAATGGCCTGCCGGTCGGCCCCCCTTGTCTTAGTCGGCGCGATCCTGTGGGCGAAAGGGAACCAGACTCCTGAGGCGCGTCCGCTCGGGGTGGCGTGACAGGCTCGCCGGACGCATCTGACACAGGCCGTATCGGGATGGGAGATGACGCATCGTAAATCGGCGGCACAAACTTCTTCAGCCATGACGGGTGCACATACCACCGGCGTTGCCCGAATTGAATATGAATATACTGGGGTCGACGAACATCAATGACCTCTACCGGCCCTTGCCACGGGCGTTGTAGTTTGGGCAATGTGCCAACCGGCACCATGGGGCAATGGAGCCACACCTTGTCACCCTCGCGCCACGGATCGCGTGGAGGTTGCATACCCCGCAAGCGCTCGTTGGCTGCCTGACGCCGTACCGAATTACTTATGGAGGCCTCACGAGCTTCCCTCAATCCCTCAAGGGTCACCTGCATGGGAACTGGCATGGCCAACGCCTTACCTGGCGGACGCACGCCCAATTTCACCAACGCCGGAGCCTCCGGCTTCCGCCCATACATCAAATAGAAGGGTGAATACCCCGTCGAGGCGTGTGGGGCCAATCTGTAGGTGGCCAGAACGCTCGGGATGTGAAAATCCCAGTCGGTTTGTGCCGCATTAACTTGCTGACACAACATGGTTTGATGTAAGCGTTCCACCATCCCGTCTGTTTGTGGGTGGTACGGGGAAGTCCGAATCTTTTTAGTGCCGAGGGAATCACACACCTCCTTTAACAGCTTCGATGAAAATTTTTTACCCTGGTCAGTGAGCAACTGCTCTGGTGCACCCTTGTCCAGCACGCACCCTTGCAGTAAGGCTTCAGTTATGGACGCCATCAATTGGTCAACCAACGGCCACCGGGTGAGATACTCAACCCCTACCAGCAAATATTTGTGCCCCCTCTGGGTAACAGGAAATGGGCCCAAAATGTCCAATGTCACCAATTCGTTGATCAGAGAAACTTTTATGGACTGCAGCGGCACTTTGTACGGTTGCGCAGGCTCCTTCCGACGTGCACATTCAGGGCAAGCTTTAACTAACAAGTGCACATCATTGTCCATACCCGGCCAATAGAAACTCTTTGAAGTCAATGACATTTTATTCACTCCCAAATGCATCAAGTGATCGTGCACCGTGTGCACAAGTCTGGCTCATAGGCTCGTAGTCACAATAATACAAAATTTCTGAAGCATGACGTCCCATCACAAGAGGAGTCCATCCCTGAGCCGTAAAATGGGGCGTACAACTGACCTCGGCGTCCGGGCAGCCTGGCACCGCAATCTCAACAGGGAGGAATCCTCCACCTGTAGGCGTCCCCATTCACTGAGGTCGAGCCCAAAAATGCGATCGTCCAGCGCGTACATCCCGCCCGTCGGGGCCGTAATGGCTGTGGTGACCGTATCAGGGCCCGTCTGCAATGGCGGCCCACACCGTGACGAGTCGGGCGGTGGCGGCAGGCGCAACAGCGCGTCCGCATCAACGTGGCGGGTCCCCTTTCTATACTTCACAGTAAAGGAGTACCCTTGCAAAAATTTCCATCCAACGGGCCATTTGGCCGGGGGGTTGGTCTACACGCAGCGAGTACTGAAGCGCAGCATGGTCAGAACGGACGAGGAAGTCCCTGCCGTACAGATAAGGATGATACAACTGCATAAAGTGGACCATGGCAAGCAGCTAACTGCGTGTAACACAATACTTCTGCTCAGGAGGGGACAAAACACGGCTGCCATACGCGACCACTCTCTCCACTCCATTGACCACCTGGGACAAGACCGCGCCCTATGCCCGTATCACTAGCGTCAGTGTCGAGGATGAACGACTTAGAGCAATTTGAGTAAACAAGCGGCGGGGCATCGGCCAGGGCATCCCGAAGTGCTTTAAATTAATCCTGATGATCTTTGTTTCAATGGAATTCATGTCCTTTAGCTGTTAACGAATGGAGCGGTTTCGCGGTCATTGCAAAGTCTTAACAAACCGGCTGTAGTACGAGGCAAAACCCACAAAGTTGCAGACCTCCGACATTGATGTCGGGGTCGGCCACGTGCGCATGCAGCTCGTCTTCTCCGGATCAGTAGCGACTCCCGACGCGCTAACCACATGACCCAAATACTTAACTGATGTCTGTAGCAAGTAAAATGTTTGTGGTTTGAATTTCAATTTGGCGTTCCGCACCCGGGAAAAAAACAGAGCGCAGCCGCTGCAAGTGTTCATTGAAATTTCGCCCAAAAACAATGGCGTCATCCAAATAGATAAGGCACGATTCCCATTGTAGTCCCGACAAAAACAGTTCCATAAGGCGCTGAAAAGTGGCTGGCGTGGAGTGAAGTCCCATCAGAAGGACATTGAAGTGATACAACCCCTGCAGCGTACG